AGGAAATTTTACATTTTAAAATTTTTTTGAAATAAAAATAATTAGGTAAATTAATAGTTTTAATTCTAACTTGATTTATTTTATTTAGCATTTAACAAAAATGTCATTACCAAGGTAAGTTCCATATAACTCTTCAATTATATAATTAAATGCTTTAAATTTATTTGGCAGTTATTATTTGGCAACAAAGCCAACGCTAGAACTGCTTCAACGAGTAGAAGAGTTACCACAGTAAATTTTATTACTGAATTCCGGCTAACAAGACGTTGCACTCTTTTTAGGTTGCCAATTTCAAGCATTTAGCGCGCGGTCTGAAGCGATAAGCTATATTGTCTGTGGTTATATTAACACTGGGTTTTCCACAGTTTGTTGAAAACTCTGATTTTTACCAGGACATTTGTGATGTGGAAGCCGTTGATGATATTCTTCAACAGCAGTATTAGCATTTCCATTACAAAAACCATAAACAAACACCATATTTGCATATTCTAAATTTGAATAAGTTCTTGGTATTTTGTAACACTTTGATCGTATAAACTTGTAATCAAATGTTAAACAATTGCAACATAAAATGACACTGACAAATGTTCTACTTTTGAACTTGGAACATGACATACTTCGATTTCAAATATATATGATATAACTTGAAAAGAAATTAAAATCTCATTTGAATTTTTCCTTATGCCCGGAGTTCTCCCGACTCACTCTGTATAATTAAAAGAAATTTGAAAAATGAAAATAAAGATCTGTATTTATTATTTTTAATATATTATTACATTATATTGTTTTTTAACTATGTACTCTAACAAAGGGTTATCAGTTTTGCAGTAGAAGTAGAAACAAATAATCTGTTATCATTATTATATATCTTAAATGAAACAATGCCTGACATATACAAGTGTTCATAGAAAATTGTTTCATGCCAAAAGATATCCTACATACCTAAATATTACGTATATTTGAATTTAGATTTTTCCATGCTAGTTTTCTCTTTAGGTAATTTCTCTGGGTGTGTTAAATTAATAAGAAATTTCATATATTTCACATCCCTATATTTTTTATATTCCTTTTTTTTTTGGTTTTTGCTAATTCAAGACCTACTTCATGATTCATTGCCAAAGTAATGAAATTTTATCAATGTGCAAAGTTTCACCATTTTTAATTTCTTTTTCTGACAATTTTGTTTATAAAATAAAAAAACAATCTCGCTATTTACACAAAATAATTCAACAGAGTAACTTACGTGTGTTTTAAAATTTTACGCACAACTTTTACTTTTTACTTTTTAACTATGTATATGGTAATCATATTCCTTCAATCGAATATCACTGAACAATGAACAGTTATAAAAGTGTATTATTTTAGAAGGATTCTTCAAAAGTTTGAATTTGATAAACTGATTAGATAAACTTATCTTATAACGTATTTATCGATAATTTTTTTCATAAATCGGATTAACTAACAAAAAAAATTAAAAGATAAATGCTATAGAAACATATCTTTGCCCGTTTTATAAATGAAACAGAATATTTGAAATGTTAGATAAATAAATAACTTTTAACGATAATACACTTCTATTGAGTTTTTCTCAATAAACCGGATGTGACGTAAGATTTTCCAATTATGATTTTAAATCAATTTATGAATGAAGTAGATGAGAATCAATTTCAAATAATTATATACAAGTATGAAAAAAAGTACCAGGCAATATCGATGAAGTCATTGTTAAAATAAAATAATTGTGATTTCAGATGTCGGTTATTTTAAACACTCTAGATCCATAACATACAAAACACGTATACGATGCAGGGTGTTTTGTAATGAATGGGCTATACTGTAATGGAAAGTACGACAGTGCGTGACATCATGTAATCCACTTTTTTCTTTTCCTCAAAGTACAAAGAATGATTTGAAAACAAAACATACAAGTACCTATAATTTCTAGCGAAATTTTGACAATTCAGTTAGTACAGTCATTAAAGCTTTTCACCTCCGAATTCTTTGAAATTGAACCGATCGACTTGAAATTTGACAGATAGTTCAATTCAAGGTCAATAAACATTAGTGACAAAGCGCTGATTGACGCTTCCATCCTGTTGGGGGTTGACACCCCTTCCTGGGGGTGGACATTTTTTTTCAAAAATAACGCTGGAAATCGATAGAGAATCAAATTCTGAGCAAATAATATTCCAGGAATATTTTCGAGAAATCAATAGTTTTTTAGTAATTCACGATTGAAAACTTTTTCAAAGTATTTTTAGCGAATAACTCAAAAACTACGCATTTTATTAAAAAAGTGTGATGAACAAAAATGTAGCTTATAAATAAACAAAGAAAATTGTTTTTTAAAAAGTGTTGTACGTCCTATACAAAGCGAAATATGGTTAGTGGAAGGGAACTTGTTTTGGGGGAATACTCGAATCGATGTATTCAACGTCAAATAACGGAAAAATGATTAATTTTACGTGTATAACGCTCCTGGAGTTTTTTGTAGTACTCAAAAAGACCTTCAAAATGAACACTTATAAAAGTTAATTAGAGCAAAATTGAAGGAGTTATCGTCAAAAACAGATGGGTTGCTCATATTTTTTAAAGAAAAATGAGCAGTAAACGCTGTACTATTTCCATCAGAATTAAAATGAATCGTAGACCCTTTACAATTAGTTTTGTTTTCGTGTTCTTCAATATATCCTGAAGTTGGACCGGTTTAGAATGCGTATTTTTTTTTAATAATGTACGGTAAAAGTTGAAAAAGTATTTTTCATTATAAAAAAAATTGCCTTATTTTTATAATAACTCTGAAACTATGAACGATACGTAAAAAATGATAGACAACAGAAATATAGTTTTTTTTTCAACAAATGTTTTGCTTTTTTAAATTCCTATAGCATAAAAAACAAAGGAGATATCGCCGCTTGAAGTATCCATTTTTAGTGAAAAAACGACCTGTCTCGAGCCATTCGATCCTTTCCCTTTAAAAAACGAAGGACTTAAAAGGTTTTATATGCAAACGATCTTACAGCTCTTGAAATTATCTTTAAAATGCTTTTTTGTAGGATACTACAGTTTCAAAATTAACCGAATTATGGTAAAAAAACAATGACATTTTTTCGGAGCAAAATAGGCTTTCTCATTTTTATATATTACAATATTATGATACTATACAAATAAAATAAGTAAAAAAATTTAGTGTGATTATTTATATGTAGCGTAGCAATTTTTTTTATGATTGATTATATTTAAAAATCGATTATAATAAAAATATTTTACATTAATATTGGTAAAAGGGTAGTTTATAACAGTTGAAAATGGCAAAAGTAAAATATTCTTTCAACAATATAAGGGAATTTTTATTTTACATTATTGCACAATTATAGCATTCCAAGATTTAAAACGTAATTTTTTATCATTTTTTTAGCACAGGGGTTATTTATAAGGGTTGAAAATTGTTATGAGATACAAATTCTTTCATAAGCACTCAGGTAATTTTTATTTTAAATAATTGCACCGTTAAAGTTTTCCAAGCTTTAAAAAAGTAATTTTTTATCATTTTTTCAATACAGGGGTGGTTTTTAGGGGTTGAAAGGGAAAAATTATTTAAGGTAACTTTTATTTTAAATAATTGCACGATTTAGTCATCGCAAATCTTTAAAAATTATTTTTTTATTATAATTTTTTGCATAGGGGTAGTTTTTAAGGGTTAAATAAAAGGTTGAAAAGATCAAATATATCATCAATGTTCGAGAACATGGAACATTATTTAATTTTTGTGCTTAAACAAGATTTTTATCAATAAAATGCTTAAAACTTTTTCAATTTTTTTCACTTAGGGGTAGTTTTTACCCCTAAAAAACAAAAAGCGTCAATCGGGTTTATGTCACTTTTGAATTTGAGCCGAAGATGAGCCTTATTCTAAATTTTCATGTAAATCCATGCAGTTTCAAAGAATTCGGAGGTTACAGCTGATTTTCAGCTTCGATGACTGTAGTAAGTCAAGTTTTCATACGTCAGAGTTTGGATAATTGAGAATGCAATTTTCACATGAAACAAAATTATTAAAGTTTGACGCTCATCCCATACTTATTAATGTGAAAATTGTGTTTATATANTTCGGAGGTTACAGCTGATTTTCAGCTTTAATGACTGTACTAAGTCAAGTTTTCATACGTCAGAATTTGGATAATTGAGAATGCAATTTTCACATGAAACAAAATTATTAAAGTTTGACGCTCATCCCATACTTATTAATGTGACAATTGTGTTTATAGATGTTTAAATTTTGACACTGTCAATGGAAATTTGTCAAAACTGTCAAAATTTCATTTTGCAGTACCGTTTTGTTTTCAAGGCACTCTTTGTAAAAGTGTATAGTTTGATATGCCAGTAAAAACAATGAATCAGAGCTTATCATTATAATAGAAAAATGCGCAGTTTAAAAAAAAAGTTGAAATCCAATTTGGCGATATAAGGTCATGGTTATTGAAATCAGTTGCCTAAATATTTAGTTAGCAATGTAAGTGTTTCATGTAATACGGTCTAATAAATCGAATATGTCGTAAAATTTGAAATTTATGGGAGCTATTGAGAACAGACTAATAAACACGCATTTGACTGGTCGTAACACTGAAAATATAAATACCTACACTACTACTTTTATTGAATCTTCCATGTCCTTTCGACGGCCAAACGAGCTTAAAATTAATGACCTATTGTAATCGATGTGATTGACGATTTCATTCATAGTTTTTGGAAAAAATGGAAACGTTCCGATTTTCTTTAAATATTTTTTATTTATGTTATAGTGTAGCTCATGGGCTTCCGAAGGGGAAGGAGGGCGCTTGCATCCAATTAGTTTATGTTTGAATAATTTTCATACCCGTGACCCTCACTTGCAAATTTTTTAGAGACGCCCATGGCGTAGTTGCGACTTCGAAAGGCAATTACGAAATAATTTCAAGCAACACATATTTTATTTAACGAATAAATACAATTTTAACCTATTCTATCAATGTCTGGTGTTTTATTTTCGTTATAACGTATGTATACGATACAAAATCATTTTTTTTTAGTTAGTTGTTCAAATTCAGAAGTGATCCAGCACTCTGAAAAATGCTGTGTATCATGCTTTTGTTGTCGTTCTTGTTACTTCCGGCCGACGAGGACTCGGCGATTACTGGTTTTATTCTCTTCTTTGTTATCCATACGTTGCAAGCAAACTTGAACTCCACTTTCAACGCTTCCCAGTACGTCAACTGTATGTGGATTAAAAAAGTTAGATATAAGTCGCGTGTAAACTCTGTTTATTTTGTCCTGTTTTTTGTCTCTACAAAGAATGTAACTTTTAAGAGGTGCCCAGTTTTTTGTGTTCCATTTTATACAGGGTGTTTCAGGATTAAGTTGACAAACTTTAAGGAGATATTCCTCATAAAAAAATAAGAAAAAAATCAAGTATACATTTTTTTCCAGAGACGCTTCATTTTCGAAATATAGGGAGTTACAGATTAAAAAAAAATCGAATTTTTTAAATAACTTTTAAATGAAGAAGGCTATTTAAGCCAAATTTGGCATGACATATCTTCTTATAAGATACCATTTTTCTATAGAAGTAGAAGTCCCGCAAACAATCAGTGGCGGAGTTATGGGGACTCAGACTCATTAAATTATAAAAAAAATTAATACTGCCCTACTCAAAATAAAAAATGATGCTGTTACAAAAAGTGTACATTCACTTTTTTCCTAACTCTTATAGTTTCATGGCAAAATAGATATTTCGGATGGGTGCTTCTGGATTCTGTCGATAAACTTTAAAATGAACCTCAACAAAAATTTTCGAGTAGGCTGCTGTCAAGCAATGTTAATTTGACGTTTTAAATGTTATTTTGCGAATTGTTGCATAAATTATCCATTAGATAAAGCGTTCAAACTAATAATAAAAATAAGTTTAATAATGCCGTCCATATTTTCGAACAATGAATATGCTGATATGGTCTTTGTATATGGTTTTTGTGATGGAAATGCCACGGCGGCTCGCCGTGAATATGCAGTAAGATTTCCTCATCGCAGACTACCAGCAAAGGAAACATTTTCAACGACATTCAGTCGTCTCAGACAAACTGGGTCTTTCGGTATTCCAACTTATGCTGATGGACATTTTGCCCCACTTCAGGACGAAGTAAGATCGAATACTATTTTAAACCATTTCGATGAAAATCCATCCACGAGTGTCAGAAGATCTAGCTATGAGCTAGGTATTTCGTCAAGTTCCATTTGGAGGACTCTTCGGGCTGATGGACGCCATGCGTACCATATCCAGCGTGTGCAACATTTATTGCCTCAGGACATACGATGCAGGCGCGTGTTTTGTGACTGGATGTTAAACCAAGCAGAGAATGATGATCAGTTTACGCAAAAAGTAATGTGGACAGATGAGGCAACATTTACTCGAAGGGGAATTTTAAACCAAAGGAACAACCATATTTGGTCCTACGAGAATCCACGGGCGGTAAGGGAACATAGTTTTCAGCATGAATTCCAATGTAACGTATGGTTGGGTGTGTTGGACAACACTATAGTTGGTCCCTACTTCCTTCCGCATCGGTTAAATGCTGACATGTTTACCGAGTTCCTTGAAAATGGTTTTCAAGATCTGTTAGAAGATGTTCCGCTTAATACTCGAATGAACAGTTGGTTTCAACTAGATGGTTGTCCTGCCCATTTTGGTAGAGGTCCTAGGGAGTGGTTAAACATTAATTATCCCAGGAGATGGATTGGTCGTGGAGGACCTGCAGCGTGGCCCGCACGTTCACCGGACTTGACACCGATGGATTATTTCGTTTGGGGTGCTGTTAAACAAAAAGTCTACGAGGTGCCAGTTGATACCCTAGAAGATCTAAGACAGCGAATAGTCCAAGCGTGTCGAGAATTAACTCCAATTCAGTGTCGATCGGCCACTACCTCCATAATTAGAAGATGTCGTGCTTGTCTACAGTCCGGAGGCGCCCATTTTGAACAAAATATTTTTTAAATCATTTCATTTTTGATTCACTTTTCGCTTTGTCTAGGTATAATATTAATTGGTAATTTTTTGGTTGTTTCAATTTACAAATAAATTTTCATGTATTGTTTGCCATCTTATTTTATTTAAAAGTACACAACACAAGTAAATGAAGTGACTACAAACCGCCTGAAAAAATTTAGGAGTATTGCAAGGGTCGTTACGTTGTCGCATTACGACATAGTCACATTAGATGTTAGGTACTTAAATATTTCTATTGTTTTCATCATCATTTTTTTTTTTTAAAAAAAACACCCGATATCTCAAAAACGAAGCATCTCCTAAATAATTTTAATACTATTGGTTAAACCCAAGGGAAGGGGAGACAAAAAGGCTTATTTGACTCACACATACTCGAGACTAAGACCAATTTTAATAGGTACTATATTTTTTTAGGTTTTATGAGGAACGTCTTCCTAAAGTTTATCGACAGAATCCAGAAGCACCCTTCCGAAAAATCAATTTTGCCATGAAACTATAAGAGTTAGACGTATGTACACTTTTTGTCAATAACAAAACTGTTCTATCTAAAAACAGCATCATTGTTTATTTTCAGTAGGGCCGTATTAATTTTTTTTTATAATTTAATGAGTCTGAGTCCCCATAACTCCGCCACTGGTTGCTTGCGGGACTTCTACTTCTATGGAAAAATAGTATTTTATAAGAAGATGTGTCATGCCAAATTTGGCTTAAATAGCCGTCTTCATTTAGAAGTTATTTAAAAAATTCGAATTTATTTAAAAATCTGTAACGCCCTATATTTCGAAAATGAAGCGTCTCTGGAAAAAAATGTATACTAGATTTTTTTCTTATTTTTTTTTTATAAGGAATATCTCCTTAAAGTTTGTCGACTTAATCCTCAAACACCGTGTATATCCCTTACTTACTTTAGGTCTTATCTAAAATATTGTTACATTTAAAAATAGTAAGTGTATTTATTTACAAACTGACCTTGGTTTCACCTTGAAGCTTAAGATCAAGGCAAATATGCTCGTATGGCCACTGATGGAGTATTAAAACGTAAAAAGGTAAAAAAATAAGTTTACATGAAGGAATTTGAAATGTGTTTCTAAAATTTAAAGGGAGCCCCATTCAATGTTACACCCTCTATATTGACGCAGGTGCTCTATAACGCTCTTTACGTACATGCTCATCTACGGATACACTTCTAACGTTCCACAGGAATTCACATATGGCTACCGTAACTGCTATTGCTATGCCAATCCCTAGTACGAAAAACACACCCCCAACGTTAGCTAGAGCCAATTCCGGACTATTCGTTGTGTCCTTAGCTTCAACCTGTGAACAAAAACGTACATGCAGATAACATTTCGAGTAAACTTTTTTTATTTTCAGTGAACTATCTCAAGTGTTTAATCAGTCCTTTAATTAAAATACTACACTCACTGTTTCACAAGAAGGTTCTTTCCTCTTTTTCTTCCACCACGTTTCTTTTAATTCTTTCAGTTTTCCATTTTCTTGGAGCTTCAAGATGGCTTTATTGATGGCAGTTCTATAACCGGAATCTAGAAACAATACACACATTCTCAACGATAATTCAATTAAACAGTATAGTACAAAACAGACAGAAAACAGAACAGAAACGGGCGAAAACACTGAAACATGCAAAATTACAATAAAAAGCAAAATAAATAAATATACGACAAACCGACTTTACGTAATAAATAATTTCTTAATTTTATAAACAGTAGTAGTAGTAGTTACCATAATAATCTACCATTTTATGGCTAAATTTACATCAATGGTAAATTAATTATTGATGATCAACGTGGTCCTGAAAAGTGAACTCACATAGTTCACAAGATTATTAATGAAAATATTGAATTGAATATTGACTAGGCGGTATCTGTTTTGGTTTGGGTGAAACGTATATCCACGGAGATTTTTGGCTTTTTGGGCGTGGGTTTAACTTTGGACGGCACAATATGTTAAAAAAATTCGAAAAATATCATGTTTTTCTTCCTATTTAATTATGTATCTTTTCAAGAGTTGATTTTAGGCGAAAATGGAAGAGGAAAAAAATTTTTGTAATTGTGTAAATTTTACAAATTGTGACTAGTTACAAATCGAATGAATCATGATTATTATTGAAAAAAATCGAAAAATCGCCAAAAATTGGGTTAAAAAACATTATTTTTTTTGGGATTTTTTTTGGGGTCTTTAAGTTGGGTATAGGACCTTCATACTTGGCTCAAGAAAAGTTCATGTTATGTAGAATCATCACACCAAATTTCATCAAAATGGGTTCGATAGATTTTGCATAATAATTTTGCAATCCAGATTTTGAAAAAAAATTTGCAAATTTTCAAAATTTTGCAGAGCAAAAACCAAGGCTCTTAGATACTTGAAAATTTAATAACATATAGAATGGACCTCAAGCTTTCAAACGTTTTTTGAAATATTCGAATCCGTCAATTAGGAGAGCTCTGGCGCTTGTTTAAACATTGCTCGAATGTTTTGTACTTATAAACAATTAGAATAACTTTATGAATATTCAATCAAATCAAATTTTTTAAAGCTGGTTTTAAAAGTTATTGAAAATACGCTTCTTTAAATAAAACAGATCGGTTGGTCAATTAGTTACGTAATTATAGCCGATCAAAGTTAACCGTCATTTACACTAAATATACTGGGACATCCGGGCTAATTCTTCGAAAAATACCTTTGGTATTCCGAGTTCTTACCAGGTCTAAATTTGCAATACTTTTCTTCATTGGCAACCTACTTTAAAACAAATTTAAAGTTATTTATGCAACCGAGAAATTCAAGAAAATCGTACAGGTGGTGGTGGGGGAAGCAGAGAGCGCGGCCGCTTCGGCCTGCTCAAAAGTCAATCGGCGAGTTCAAAATCGCGACGCTCTTAAACAATTTTTAATATCTCAGCTTCTAGAGGTAGGATTTTGATGATTTTTTTTTAAATCGATGTCTCGCGATTTAAAAAAAAAACAATTAGCGTATTTTCAAATGTCTATCATTAATAATTATTGGTCTTTCAACAGTCCGATAATTATTTATCTTTAAACTGTCTTTAATTATCAACTTTATTTTTTTTATTGTATCAAAGGTAAGTTCATAAACTTATATACTGTTTATCAAGGATCAAAAACAGATTTATTTAAATATTCTAAAATTGTTTAAACAACAATTATTTTCAAAATATGTCGAAAATTAGTAATTAATTAATTAATTAATTAATTATTTAATTAAAAACTTTCGACAAATTTTGAAAATAATTGGTGTTTAAGCAATTTTAGAATATTTAAATAAATTTGTTTTTGATCTTTGATAAACAG